CATGGATGTGTGTTGCTGCTTTGTTGACTGTGAGGAGCAGCATGGATGTGTGTTGCTGCTTTGTTGACTGTGAGGAGCAGCATGGATGTGTGTTGATAGGTCGCACCTCCCGCTCCCACAAAGACGCTGCTCACTGTCCTCCTGCAGATCGACGTGCTCCAGGCCGAAGTGGCGGCCCTGAAGACTCTGGTACTGTCCACCTCGCCCACGTCCCCCTGCAAGGAGTTGCCCTCAGGCCCCAAGGTGCCTTTCAAGAAGGGCCACGCCCGCAACAAGAGCACCAGTAGTGCCGTGCTAGGCAGCCAGCAGGAGTTCAGCGTCACACAGCCCATTGTCCGCGACTGCAAGGAGGTACCATCACCCCCCCCCCCCACAGAGCCTCTGGCCTAGCATAAATAAATCAGTGTATTTGTACGGTTTAGGTTTGATTCTATGTGTATTTGCTAATCATCATTACCATCCATTAAACATCTCTGGTATTGATTATGTTTGCCTGATGGTGACTTATCTGCTCATCACTGGCCCAGTGTGCTATAGGGTTTCCGGAATCAGTTTTCAGTGTGTGACGTGCCCTGTGAAGACCCTGTTAGTATCATCTTAACGCTTCCTAACGGGATGCGGCTCGGAGCACGGTGCTGTTTACCTCCTCTGCATCGCGGGCTGCGGGCTGAGCTGTGATGAGGCGTGCATGTAGACACGCGAGCACAGACACATGCGTGTGCAGACACACAGGTACACTGGGGTGGGGGTGGGCCCTCCCCAGTTTGCCATTGCAGGCACGCTCTGATATCCCTCAGCCCACACACTGGATAAAAGCACCACCTCACTGGATTTTTAACTGATGCTTCTAACAGCTTTGCATAAACATCCCCTCTTATCTGTCATGCAGCAATCGTGGAATGTTATGAAAGTTTAATAGACAGAGCTAATCCTCTATAGCACGGTAGGTGAAATAGTGGCTGCATAAAATTTAGATACGGCTTCTGTGACATCAAACTGCTTTTTAAAAATGATTAATAGCATATTAGTTTCTTAAAATGTATCTTTATGCTGAATAAGCAAATCAGTTTTCATATATTCATCCTTCTTCTAACTGCTGATCCCGGTTGGGGTCACATGCGGCCTGGGGCCCATCAAAGGTGCCCAGTAGGGGGCCCCCTTCCCCGGGATGGGATGGCAGGCCAAAGCAGTCTTCAGGTTCACTTTTTCAAGTACTTGATGAACTTAAATCCTGCTATTATGTTACACCCAGATGCAAAATATTACACTCACGTAAAGTCTGGGCTGTTTGTTGAGTATAAGGTAGAAGCACAGGCTAATTCACAAAAGGGTCGTGTATCATAAATGAACAAAGGTTTATGTCTAGGCAAAGACAGTACTGATAGAGAGCACTGATTATGCATTACTATTATTAACAGACTTCTGTCAGTGTGAAGGACATAAGTCTTATCTGAATGCATCGTAAGCTTGATGCCTGTCAGCTTCCTTAGCCGGCATCTCGATAGTCTCTTCGGGCCCCTGATACCCACCCCTGTGTGCTGTCCTCCCCGCCTCCTCTTGTCGCCAAGGCAACATCCAGTTACCCTTTGTGATGTAAGAGCAGCGCTGCAGCTCATTGGCTGTTTAGTTGTTGGGGGTGGGACAAGCCGGGCACAAACTCTTCTGAGGGAGTCTGAAGGAATCATAAGGCTCCTCGAGTTGCAGGGATGCAGTGTTATGCAGAGCACGTAATAGGAGAAGGTCACCGTCTTTATTTTCCTGCGGCGTTTTGGCCCCAAGTACCCACTCTGCACCTTCCTAAATCAGCACATGCGTCATCTATGTGCGGGCACATGTGTTGTCTGAATATGTCTGTATGCGTGCTGGCACAGCACTGTTTTCCTCTCAGCCTGGTTGTCATTGGCTGAGCCCAAGGGTGTGTCTCTGCGGCATTCCCATTGGCCGTGCTGTAGGCTGCAGTCTGATCGGGCCGGTAGTGGCTCCTGGCTCCTCCGTGGTGCACGATCTGCCTCTTTTCTCTATGTATTATTAGTATGTCGAATAGCAGCTGAAGGGGTTGAATTCTGACAATCTGTTGTGGAGCAGAGTGGTCATGGGGATCAGATTAGGAATGTCTGACATCTTGACTGATCCCAGATCAGATCTGATATCAGCGATGCCCGGGGATGCTGGATGATGGGTGGCTGAGGTTGGCCTCCCCTAAACCTTCTGAGCATGCTCCCTATAGCGGGATGACACACCCCTCAGAGGAATGTGGGGTCTGCTCTTGGGCCCAATAGGAAAGATGGGTTTATATATAGGGCCCAGTTTGAGCCTGGGTGATATTATTATGGGTGGACTGGGGTACTCTGCTGTCTGCAGCATGCTGTTTTTTAAATGGGATATTTGTGTCTGCATGTGTTCGATGGCAGCCGTGACAGTGATGTCACCGTCCCCTCCCGCAGGTGGACAGCCTGCTGTTCAGCGAGTTTAAGGCCTGGAGGGAGGAGCCCACCCTGGAGAGGAGCTGCTCCTTCTTGGAGCGCATCTACAGAGAAGACATCTACCCCTGCCTCACCTTCTCGAAGAGCGAGGTCCGTAAGAATGGGTGGAGTGGACCGGACTTTGTACCGTTCTCTCCCTGGACGTCCTGCGTGCGAGTGTGGCTGCTCTCCTGTCCTACATCCCCACGTCACGTGATAGCTGCATGCCACTCTAGCTCCCTCTGTGTGTTAATTATTAATGGCCCCCTTCCCAGCTGCTCATAAACAGGCCTGTCAGCGGGAGCGTCCCCCCCCCCCCGCCTACGAGCTCCGGTGAGACACCCAACCCAAATGCCACTTGTGACATTAGGCTGCCCAGTGGCGCCGGATGTCCCCTTGATGTGATAAAAACTTGTTACTTTGACCTTATTGGAACCACCTTTTTGGTCCCCACAAGGTGAAACTCAATATTATAAAAATCTGTGAATGCAATCAAAAAACTAAAATGGCCAAAAGTCTTGTATTTTGTTTGGTTACTTTTGGTTAAGGTTAGGGCTGGGTAGGGGTTAAGGGTGTCATTTCTGAGATTAGGGTTATGTCCATAGATACCTTATCTGTGTGTGGGTGGAGTGTGTATGTTGTCTCATTGTTACCATTCTAACACTCTTACAGTCATGCGGTTGGCCAAATATTGGACAAATCGCAACGTCTAAATTGCCCATTTTGCGTCTGTGCGTGCCCCTTTTGCGTATGTATGTGCCCTGTAACAGACTGGCATCCTAGCCAGGGTGTCCCCTGCCTTGTGTCCTATGGGCTGTATCAGCCATATGAAAGATGGATGCATTTAGTGAGGTTTCTAAACATAAGACAGTGAACAGAGCTTATTTCCTATTTTTTAAACACATAGCTTCATTGTGAAAACAGGCTTAATGACTGCTGACACCAGCCCAGAGACGGGCTTAAATATTTCGGAGCAGTTTCTCCGATAAACAGTCCGCAGGACAAATACTCCTGTGTCTGATAATTTAAGTCAGACACATCTGCCTCATGGCGGAGTTTCAGCACGATCAGCGTCCTTGCGGGGGGACAAAAGAGGCATTCAGCTGAATGTCGGATTCTTTCACTGACCTGCATTGTCCACGTAACCGTTCTTCATGCTCAAGTATGATGTGCTGAATCTTCACAGTCCAGTTCCTGTGCTGCCTTCCTCCTGAAGCTCAATACTGTGCACTTCCTCGAGGCCCCTCCTCTTCCCAGCTGGTGATTGGACCCATAATTTCCACACTGCTAGGGGTTTTCACCCATTTCAACAAAAATAGCCACCCTCCCATGCCAACGGAGTAGTGCTTTGTGTGTTGTTTTTGAAACACTGTAGTTGGGGTTATTGTTGCCCTCTAGTGGACATACAAAATAATGTATTTTCTTGGTAAACATGTATGGTGATCAGGTGTTTTTAGGCTTTATTGCACCATGTTAATTGTGCTTCATGATAGAGGCTCAGGTTTGTATATTTGCTCAAGAGTAAATGAGCAGTTGTCCAGATGTTTCCACAGTGATCTGGTCCAGCCAGGTCGGTCCAAAGTTCACGGTGACCCCCCACACTGGTTTGACCTCTGCTGCGCTCCCCTGTCCTTTTCCCAGTTGGCGTCGGCCATCTTGGAGGCGGTGGAGAGGAACACACTCAGTGTGGAGCCGGTGGGCTTCCAGCCGCTGCCGGTGGTGAAGGCGTCGGCCGTGGAGTGCGGGGGTCCAAAGTAAGTGTGCGTCAGATGGGAGGGGGCACCTCGCAGGGAGGGGTGGGGGCGGTGGAGGAGCAGGAAGAAGGGCAGCTTTTATTCCTGCAGGTGTCACCTGAATGACAAATGTTACCATTTCACAGGTAAGGCCATACCTGCATTGGGGGGTTTTACTGACATAAATGACCCATAGGGGGAGTTCCAGGGGTGGATGCCCGTTTTGGAGCATGCTGGGTATTTTGTACCAACAGCCCAAAGTGTGCCCATATTTCCTGGAAGCTTGAAAGAGAAATTCTTGGGTGCCATCTGTCACCCGCTGAGAGATGCTGCCGTTGGTGAAAGTGACATTTCTTTGTGAGCTCATTCAGTAGGTGGAACAGTCACTTTGAATGTCTGGGGGGGATGTGGTGTCACTTCATATTGTCCTTTTGTATATTACTGCTGTCTGATACTCATGGGATATTAATTTGAGGTGAAAGCTCTGGGCTTTGCAGTAGGTGTTATTGTTGCACACGAGCTTTGGCCTTGGCTGGATGTGTTTGATACCATTTTGCATAAATTGAATGTGACAGATTGACATCTTTTGCCGAGTCTCTCTGTACCAGGCAAATTTTGTTTTTATTTTCTGCCTAATTTATAAACCCTGACTAAACACAAGACCACCTTCACTCCCATCCACTATGAATTGTACCGTCTCGCCCCCATTAGTGTTCCTGTAGCTTGCCTCAGGGTCTGCTTTGCTGTCTCTAATTCATTTTTCTCTATAAATGCATTTAAATTTTTTGTCGTTTCCATTTACGCCCCCTAGTGGCCGGAGGCCTCACTCCCCAACCCCCATGGTGCTATGAATTGACTATACCGGACAGGTCGTTTCCGTTTCCCATCATCCTCTCTGTCGACCCCACAGGAAGTGCGCACTCAGTGGACAGACGAAAACCTGCAAGCACAGAATCAAGTTTGGCGAATCCAGCAACTACTACTATGTGTCTCCCTTTTGTCGCTACCGGGTAAGCCAGACGCGCTCTGCCGGGTAAAGCCAGACGCGCTCTGCCGGGTAAAGCCAGACGCGCTCTGCCGGGTAAAGC